AGACTTCATCAGCCTGAGACCAGAAGAACTAGATGGTGCCCGGCTACCACCAATGACCACCCTGACAGGGAACACAACAGAGAGTCCCTGACGGAGCAGCAGAAAGATGAGGTGCAGAACTCAAATTCTAGTAAGAAGACCAGACTTGATGGTCTGACTGAGACTGGAGGAACCCCGGAAAGCATGGCCCCTGGATTCTCCATCAGCCCAGAACTAAAACAATTTCCGAGGCCAACTCTTCAGACAGGGATTGGACTGGACTGTGGAATATAAAGTGATACTCGTAAGGAGTGTGCCTCTTAGCTCAAGTAGATACAGGAGACCAAAGGGGCAGCTTCTGTCTGGAGGTGAGATGGGAAGGCAGAGAGGGTTAGGAGCTGGTTGAATGGATATGGGGAATCGGGTAGAAAGGAGGAGTGTGCTGTCACAGAATGAGGTGAGCAATTAGGGGTCACATAACAATGTATGTATAAAATTTCGCATGGGAGACTAACTTGAAATGTAAACTTCATTTCAACTACAACAATTAAAAAAAAAAAAAAAAAAACCCTGCCCCATAGGGTTTCTAAGGCTGTCTGTCTTTACTGCCGCATCTTTCTCCTGCGGAGCGGCTGGTAAGTTTGAACTGTCAACCTTTCGGTTAGCAGCCGAGTACATAACCACTGCGCCACCAGGGCTCCTCTTCATAAGCTGTTACCAAAAAAAAAAAAAACCAGTGCTGTCGGGTCAATTCCAACTCATAGCAACCCTATAGCCATTAGGCACTAAAAAACCCGTTGTTGTCAAGTCGATTCCGACTCACAGCAATTAGGCATTAGGCAACTGCAAATCAAAACCACAATGAGATACCACCGCCCACCTACTAGGATGGCTACAATGAAAAAGACAATAACAAGTGTTGTCCAGGATGCGGAGAAATTAAAACCCTCATACACTGCTGGTGAGAATATAAAATGGTTCATTCGTTGTAAAAACCAGTTTGGCGGTTCTTCAAAAAGTTAAATGGAGAGTTACCAGATGATCCAGCAATTCCACACCTAATTATACACTCGAGAGGACTGAAAACATCTTCACACAAAAGCCAGTACATAAATTTTCACAGTAGCGGTATTCATTATAGCCAAAAAGTGGAAACCACCCAGATGTCCATCAGCTGATAAAGGAATAAATAAAATGTGGCACATCCATACAATGGAATATTACTCAGCCACAAACAGGAATGAGGCACTGATACACGCTACACCTTGGATAAACCTTGAAAGTATCCCACCAAGTGAAAGAAGCTGACACAAAGGGGCACATACTGTAGGATCCCTTTTACGTAAAACGTCCACAACAGGCAAATTCAGATGCAGAAAGTGGATTAGTGGTGCCAGGGCCTGGGGGAAAGGGAATGGGAGTGATACTAATGGGTACCTGGTTTCTTTTTGGGATGATGAAATGTTCTGGAATTGGACAGTGCGATAGTTACCTGGCTCTGTGAATACCAGAAACCAGTGAATTGTACAGTGAAAGCTGCAAGAGCCAGAACTCAACGGGACTGCCTTGTTTTTCTGCCTTTGACAGGGTGCAGTCATCACTTTTCTATCAGTCTCTATTCAGTGGAAAATATTTGCATTTTCCTTCTCTGACAGGTTTCCACCTTACACAGGTTCTCGCTTTTGCAGAATTTGCTGTATATTGGAAAAATGGTGAATTTTATGGTCTGTGAATTATATCTCAATTTTAAAAAATAAGGAAAAGTCATCAACTGAGGAATCAGTACTGGAGGATTCCTCTAACTTCCTATTTCTAAGTTCTTGCTCATATTAAGATGAGAGAAAATCTATTATCAGTCACTTGAGCTTCAACAGAACACAGCATTTTTTAATTCCTAACCTTTTTCTGAATGTTAAGCCTTTTACTTCTAACTGTGGAATGAAAGGCTGACCCATGAAAATGAAGTAACATAGGAGATGTGGCTGAGATGTTCTGGGACAAGCTGCCTTTGAGTTTTTGAAATCATATTCACCTAGACCCAGACCCAAAGTTTTTCCTTTGCCATTTTTCAGATGATAGGAGTTCAGAAGTGACAACTGTCATTCTGGCCCACAGCAACATCACCCAGGCTCCCCGCCTACGCCCTGGAGAAGATGAGTCCTGGTCACAGCTGCACGGTTATCGGTCCCCCAGCTGCAGCAGCTGGGTTAGGAGCAGGTCCTGGCATCATTAGCTTCTTTTCGCCTCAGCCCTGAAATCCTTCTGGAGCTGAGGCAGCTGACAGTGAGTCCCTCACCATTTCTTTTTCCAAGAATTGAGTCGCCAGAGTTTCAAAACCCATTTTCTTCTCCTTACCTGACACTACCAGCAGTTTTCCCTGTTCAGGAAATCTACAGCTGTAGGGCCCAGAGTTTTGCAGGCCTAACCTTCCCATGAAGCTCTGGTGGCGCAGTGGTTAAGAGCTACAGCTGCTAACCAAAAGGTAAGCAGTTCAAATCCACCAGCCGTTCCTTGGAAACCCTACGGGGCAGTTCTACTCTGTCCTATAGGGTCACTGTAAGTTGGAATTGACTTGACGGCAATGGGTAACCTTCCCACTTCCGGGCCCCTGGGAGCAGGGAGAAATGTGTCCTGTCAGAGTTGGGGTGTTTTGTTTTAACTAGTTGGAGATCATAATGTATCTTGATTTTTCTCCCACTGAATATTTCAGTATGAGAATTTTCCCGTGTCACTAAATACTTTTCAAAAGTACAATCTGTGATAGCTGTGTGATATTCTACAAAACCGATGTATTGTGATTTATGTAACAAGTCCTCGAATAACTGGATTATTAGACTGTTTTTCACTGTTCATAGTTTTTCACTATTTATATTTACTACTAATAGTATTTCACTGTTTTTCACTAATAATGGTTTTTCGCTATTACAAATAAGGATACAATAAAAATATAAAACACATGAGGATATTGTATTATGGAAAATTTATGCCATCAGCAGTGATACAGATACTGGAAAACAGCGAGAACAGAAAAACCAGAAACGTGATTTGCCTGTATGACAGCAATAACACTTCTTAGTTCCTTTGTGAACTGCTGGCATGCAGTGGTTCCTAGGCAGTATGCTCTCATTATGACTTGCTTGGCTTAACTGAGCTTTGCGTGAAGCCCCAAGGTGATCTCCAGACTGATGCTCATAGTCTTCACAGCTTACTTTTCTTTAGCATCGCCTTTTGTTCATAGAACATGGCGGCAGAGTTGCTTGCTCCAACTTTTAAAATACTAGCATGAGTCTTTAAATGTCTCCTTTTGGTGAAAAACCTAATCGCATTATATATCCAAACATGTAAATGTACAAAGTTGTTACTCACGGCATTATGATAAACATTTTTAAATGGCAACAACCCAAATGCCCATTTGTAGGGAACTGGCTAAGTAAATTACAGTATGGCAATATTAGAGTACCATGCAGCAGAACGAACGCTGGTGGCACAGTGTTAGCCTGGCGCTAACAAAAGGTCGGAAGTTCAAATCCACCAGCTGCTCCTTGGAAATCCTATGAGGCAGATCTACTCTGTCCTATAGGGTCGCTATGAGTCGGAATCGAGACAACGGCAACAGGTTTGGTTTATGAAGCAGAGTCCC